GGAATAATTTCACTTCCACAGAAGTTTCAGAAAAATGTTTTGTTGGTTAAAGAAAAGTGTGTTTAAGAAGCCAAATTGTCTTAAAGATGTTATGTGCAATCTGGAATAAACATGAGCAACTGCAGGGTGTGAAATAGACATATTATAGACTGCATGGTGTTCCAGTGATCATACACATGCCTTCACCTTACCTATGCACAGACACCAAGAATCTAGCATCTTTTGTAATGCAGAGAGAGTCTCAGGCTGGTACACTAAGAGTGAAACCATATCACAGTGGAAAAGAACTTGCACAAATGGTTCCCAGATAATAATATGTATTCAGATTGTCTGCCTTCAAGGAACCTTTGTCCATAGATGCCTCTGTTAAGACATAGGATGCTGCTTCAAATTGTTACAACATGGGCCATTATAGTCCAGTGTTGTTTTGTCTCAGCCAACATGATCAATGCTCATTGGGTGGTTTTAAATGCATGCACCTCAATATTTTTGTAGATCTGTACATTTTGGGGTTTGCCTGCCTAGTGCCAATATAATAATAATAATATAATAATAAAATTTATTTATACCCCGCCCAATGGTAATCCAATCAGGGCGGCTTACAATATTCCTTTTGCTTCTCAGTTTTGACTCCAGACTTGGCAGGACTCAATACCTGAGTCTGAGAACAGAGGCAATGGGTTAGTAAAATGTATTAAAAAATCAAGGCTGATACACAAAATGCAAGCTGGACCTTTAGCATGGATATTTAAGCAGCACACTATGTAATAACCTTCTTGGTTATCATTAATAGCCTGTGCAATAATCTTATGTAAAGTTATCTCGAGCTATGAAGCACTGTAAAGGTTGTCAACGATATTTATTTCAACTAAAATGTACATTAAGTAGGTACCAAGTTTAAAAAATGACTAGTACCTTCTGAATTTTCTACAGGTATGGAACCCAGCCATTTTGTTTATTATCATTTTCCTGGAGGAGGGAGGATCGATAGAATGAGAGCAGCCTCACAATCATGAGCAACCTCATAGGAAATAAAGACAATCCCTAACCTGTTGTGTTGTAACACATATATGCAGAATCTCCAGGATGGGCCCTTCCATTAGATAGAATGAGGCCTTTGCCTCAGGTGGAAGGTGCTGAGGGGAAGACAGCAGTGAAGTACTGAGATACTGGATGGGTGAGAGGCAGTGTGACGTTGTGGTTTGAGCGTTGGATTGCAACTCTGGAGACAGCCAGGTTGGATTCCTGGGTCAGCCATGAAATCCATTGGATGACCTTGGGCAAGTCACATGCTCTCAGCTTCAGGGGAAGGCAATGGCAAACCTCCTCTGAACAAATCTTGCCAAGAAAACCTCATGATAGGTTTGCCTTAGGATCTCCATAAGTCAGAAAATACTTGAAGGTACACAAGAACAAGAGAGCCAATGTGGTATAGTGGTTTAAGCATTGGACTAGAACTCTAGAGACCAGGGTTCAAATCCCAGCTCAGCCATGGAAACCCATTGGGTGACCTTGGGCATGTCACACTCTCTCAATCTCAGAAGGCCATGGCAAGCCCCTCTGAAGGAATTTGCCAAGAAAACCCTGTGATAGGTCTGCCTTAGGGTAGACATAAGTCGGAAAGGACTTGAAGACACACAAGAAAACAACAAACACAACAACAACAAATTTGAGACCCAGTGTGGTGTAACGATTTGAGCATTGGACTATGACTCTGGAGACCAGAGACTAATAGGTCATGGAAATCCAGAGGGTGATCTTGGGTAAGTCACATTCTCTTAGCCTCAGATGATGGGAATGGCAAACTCCCTCTGAAAAAATACTTGAAGGTACACAACAACAACAAAATTGAGAGCCAATGTGGTGTAGTGATTTGAGCATTGGATTATGAACAGACCTAGATCATAGGTGACCTTGGGCAAGCCACACTCTCTCAGCCTCGGAGGATGGCGCTGGAAAATCCCCTCTGAAGAAACTTGCCAAGAAATCCCCATGATAGGTTTGCCTTAGGGTTGCTATAAGCCCATGCATTATGTCCCATGCAAAATGTGGGATATTAAAGAATAATGTAGGGCATTACAAAATAAAAGCTAAAAACACTAATATAAATAGTAATTCATTTGATATGGTTTCAGGGCTACGACATGTCCTAACTGCAAAGGAGGACAAGGCACCACAAAATTAGGACTTTCAAGAGAAGTGTAGGACTTTACAAAATAAAAGCTAAAAACACTAATATAACTGTGAAACTCTGCTTCATAGTCATGCTCAAAGTGGAGGACATTTTGAAATTTCTCCTGGACAAAAGGTTAAAATGCAGAGCATGTCCTGGAAAAGGAAGACGCCTGATCATCCTGTATGGTTTATTTACAGCTATATTGCATATACACCAGCGTTGCATAGTGGTTTGAGTATTGGAACTAGGCCACTGAGAGACCAGGATTTAACACTGGCTCAGCCTTGAAAACTCACTGGGTAACCTTGGGCAAGTCACACTCTCTCAGCCCCAGAAGAAAGCAATGGTAAACCTCTCTGAAGAAACTTGCCACGAAAACACCATGATAGGGTTGCCTTAGTCAGAAACGAACTGAAGGCATTAGAAACAAACTGAAGGCACATCACCACCACAACTACATCACATATACTATATTATTTCTTGAAGGGGAACAGCAAACGTGGTGCTACTCAATGGGCTTCCTAGTCATTCTCAAAATGGAGGACACTTTTGAATTCCTTCTGGGCAGAAGGTTGAAATGTAGGCCAGGTCCCAGAAAAAGGTCACCCTGTATAGTTTATTTACAGCTATATTACATAGACATCAGCGTGGCATAGTGGTTTGAGTGCAGGACTAGGACCCCGGGAGAATAGATTCTGAATCCCGCTGGGCCATGAAGACCTTATGCAAAGTCACACTCTCTCAGCCTCAGGGGAAGGCCATGGCAAACCTCCTATGAAGAAACCTGCCAAGAAAACCACATAATAGTTTCACCTTAGGGTCACCATAAGCTGGAAAGGACTTGAAGGCACACAACAATGCACACAACAACAAACACAACGACAAAAAATATGAGAGCCAGTGTGGTGTAATGGTTTCAGCGTTGGACTACAACTCTGGAGACCAGAGACTAGCCCATGGGAATCCAATGGGTGACCTTGTGCAAGTCACATTCTCTCAGCCTCAGAGGACGGCGGTGGCAAACCCCCTCTGAAGAAACTTGCCAAGAAAACCTAATGATAGGTTTTCCTTAGGGTCACCATGCGTCGGAAAATACTAGAAGCTACACAACAACAACAAATTTGAGAATTCAAAGATACAGCCTAGTTAGTCTATATAGAATCAGTA